AGAGAACGTGCTGTTGATAAAAAGAAAAAAGTGAATTATAATTTAATGGGTGTTGTGAAAAGAGAGAATAAGAGAAGTCAATAGACTTGTGTGTATTATAATGAGAACTAAAGTCTTATATTTATAGGGAAGGAATAGGGATACATATGGTAATAGTATCTAGGGTTGCAGAGGTACAAGTGTTATTTACATTAAATCTTAATTTACTTTTCTTTTACAACACTCTCCCTTGAATGATATATTATAAAATATCTGTCTCGTTAAAATCTTATTTGATAAAAACCCAATGTGACAAAAAAAAAAAAATCAAAACGAAGGAAATGAGTACAGTTATTTTGGAGTATTAAAGATAAATGCTGTCTCATTAGAACTTTGCGAGAAAAACTCAATGGGTTAAAACCTAAGTGAAGGAAAAAAAAAATACAGTCACTCCCCCTGATGTTGATCACTGAAAATCTTTAAGTCGAAATATTCCAATCATTTGAACCAATTTCTTGAATGTAGATGTTGGCAGTACTTTTGTAAATAAATCAGTCACATTGTTACTTGAACGAATTTGTTGAACCTCAATGTCGCCATTCTTCTGAAACTCGTGTGTATGAAAGAATTTTGAAAAAATATGTTTTTTCATTTTTCATTTGATATAATATCTTTTGAGTTGTGCAATACAAGCAGCATTATCTTCATACAAAATAGTTGTACTATCTTTTGTTGAAATTAATCTGCATGGTGTTTGGATATGAATGGTCACGTTCCTCAACCATACACATTCTCGACCTACTTCATGGATTGCAATAATTTCAGAATGATTTGGGGATGTTGTTATCAATGATTATTTCACAGATCTCCATGATATAGCTATTCATCCACGTGTAAACACGTATCTTGTTTGTGATTTAACTTTATGTGAGTTAGAGAGATAACATGCATCTGTGTATCCCACTAAAGCAGATCCCGACTTTTGAGAATAAAATAATCTCAAATCAATAGTACCCTATAAGTAACAAAAAATATGTTTAATATCATTCCAATGTCTTTGTATTGGTATGAAGCTATATCTTACAAAGAGATTTATAGAAAAAAGTTATGTCGGATCGAGTACAGTTTGCAGGATAAATTAATGCTCAAATCGTACTAAGATATGGTACTTCAGGACAAGAACTTTTTCTCCATCTTCAAGTTGACGAAAATGATCATTTTTCACATCAAGTGATCGAACAATCATAGGTGATGTCAATGAATGTGCATTATCTATATAAAAGCATTTTAAGACTTTTTCTGTATATATAGATTGATGAACAAATAATCCTGCTTGAAAATGTTCAATCTGCAACCCGATACGGAATTTGAATGTTCCCAAATCTCTCATCTCAAATTCATTTTTCACATAATCTGCAATTTTGTTGAGCTCTTCACGATTTTCATATATATTATAATATTATTTTGAGGGTAAATGTCTTTTAGGTTATGGATATTAATTACACAAAAAATATGCCTCATTAAAACCTTATTAGGAAAAATCCTGTGGGAAAAGTTCTATTGAACGAAAAAAAGTACATCATTCTTTTAAATACGCTACTAGAGTTGTCTAATTAAAAACCTTACTAGGAAAATCCAACTAGAAAAAACTTCGGTCAAGCGAAAAAGAGTACAATACATATTTACTCTCCTCATGATAATATCACTTGAATTATGTTTCGAGCATATTAAATCTTTGCAAAATAGTATCAAAATCATAAATTATNCAAATCATTACTTCGATCGAGGACGAATTTATTTTAATATCCTTGCTACTCATAATATGATTACCACATCATGTGCAAAAGTGTTGTTAGCAACTTTTTATTTTTCGATTCTATTCTTTTCTAGAATGACATAACTTATTGAGATATCTCAATTTTCATTATTTCTGATACTTGAACCTTTTCTTGAGTTTAAAAACGTGTTATGTCTAAATATTCATCAAGAGTATACGTGTGCTTAATACGATCATCTTTACCAATTGCTCTATTTTTGTTTGAAGGATTTTGTAATAGAATCGTATATGTCACGCTTCAGAACTACAATAAATTTGTCAAATATGATATTAACGAATTGTCCTTCCAGGAGTCAATTCGAGTTGGAACATTTAAAACTGATGTGTGAGATTGTTAATCTCTTTATTCAACAAATGCATTTAAATGAATTATTCTTCAAACTTCTGGTTTGAATTGTCTTTTGCGATAATTTAGATAATGATGCATTTGTACATTATTTTCCTCTTCTTAATTCCTCCCCCTAATGTCGAGAGAATTGTCCAATCAAATTGACAATGATTTTTCCACCGTTATAAAATATCGCCCATTTGAAATAAGGGTTCAAACTAAGCAGTTATTCTCAACATTCTTCAGTTTTCATCTCAGTGCATCTAAACATTTATTATCAGCATTCTTTAGTTTTCATCTCAGTGCATTGTGGTGGATCAATTTTACATATACTGTACTATCGAAATAATTTGATAGAAAAATTAGGCTCTAACCATAAGCCAACAATTGTAAGAACTATAATGTTGGCATGATGCGTAATGATTTTCCCTAAATAGAAATGTGAAGTACTTTGTTCTAAATTAAATTAAACGAGATGTTTAACAAGCAGTAGTGTTACCATTTATCGACATCTCAACTAACACTTGTTAAAATGTTGAGATTTATGATAACTAGCATTAACAAGATACACCGTCTTGATCGTATAATCTAAAAATTATGCTCAGAATTTGAGTAGCACTTTCGCAAATTTCATGTTTTTTTAACACAATGCAATCATCTAATATTTATATCAAATATATTATATACAAAATATTTGAATGGTCAACATGGAGGATGATGGGGCCCCATTTATCACCCTAATTAGTTTTCAAAAATATAAGGAATTCAATTTCCATTTATCTAGTAACGATCAATGATTAATTTTCAATGAAGAGAACAAATATCAAATATGAATTTTTTGGATTGAAGAATCTTCTGGTTCAATATAATATTTATTTTAATTCTACCACACATTTTAGAAACATAGCATGTTTCTTTTTAATTTAGTAGAGAATACTATCAATAGTAAAATTTTATTCTCCTACATTACGCAGTATTGATTCTTCTATAATATCAAAATAATATTCTTCTGGAATATTGATATATTCCTAGTTATAATTATTCACAAATAATAGAACAATATTATTAAGGAATATCGATATATTTAAATTAATCATAACGTTCTTCAAAAATAAAAATATTTATAAATTTGTGCTTTTTCAGGAACACAATACAATATTCTTCAAGAATACTAATATATATTATTTTGCTTCTTCTGAATCAATATATGAAACTTTTTTTTTTTGTAATATTGGAATTGTAGTATCATGCAATTGAGAAACAATAACATATTATTATTTAAAATAATAAATTGTATAAGAATTTACTCTTTTAGAGTAAAAACATAATTTTTTATTATACTCATAGCGAGCAAGCAAAATATAACTAGAACATAAATAGTAGCGTGTTACTTCATGAGCAATAATAAATTATTATTTAAAAAATATTAACTCTTCAAGGGTATATTTTTTATGATAATATAATATTTTATAGAGTTGTGCTTTTTCAGGAACCACATGTCAATATTCTTCTAAAAATATATAATTCATACTCTTCAGAAGCAAGTAATATTTTTCAGGAATATTAATTATAATATTGTGCTACTTCAGGAGCAACAACAAACTATTTATAATGGATAGATCTACGATTAATGTTCTTCTTGAATATTATTTATAATTTTGTGTTACTTCTGGAGCGACAATGTAATAAACTATTAATTTAAAGTTTATAGAACATCTAAAAATATTTAATTACCATATAGGCATAATATAAATTTATATAGAAAAATTAATTACCAAAAATGTATTAGAAAAAAAGAATCTTCATATACCGAATTTAATGGTAGAATATTGTAGAATGAAATACATTCAATGAAATACGCTGATGAGCATACTGTAGAATATTTACGTGTAAAGACATTTATTAATGCAAAAATCATGATGATAGTTTATATAAACATGAATTAATTGGAAGACATGTGATTAAGCAGAAACTGATGAATTCAGCTTCATACGATTAATTCGAAGACATGATTTTATGTACATGCGTGAATTCAAAAACATAAATCATAAATCATGCATATGTACATACATAAATTGACTAAATATGAATGGATATAGACATGAATTGAAAAAGCAAATTAGAATCTGACTACAAGGTTGCACCGTTATGATGTATGTGTATATTAAAAAAATTTTTGCATGTCACCAAATTAATTTTGGTACATGTGATAGATGATTATGTTTAAAAAAAATTACTGCATTCACTAAATTTTGAAAAATTAAGCTATCGTGCTAATAACGTGTTGTGAAAAAGATAATAAGAGAAATCAATAGACTTGTGTGTATTATAATGAGAATCAAAATCATATATTTTTAGGGAATTGATATAGATACATATGATAATAGTATCTAGGGCTGAAGGGGTACAAGTTTCATTCACATTAAACCCTAATTTACTTTCCTTTTACAACAATGTGAGCATAATTCTATTATTGCGTGAATTTAAGAGGATATGATCAAAAGTAAAATACTATCTTTCAATTATATATGCTTGTTTTGTTTTTCACACGGATTTAGAAATCTTATTTAATGTTATTGAAAAAGTAATTTTGCCAAAAACTTTCATAGTTTAAACTCATTTAATTATCAATAACTAGTATTAAATTATTATTGGAAATATTAAAGAAATAAGGATATATTAGTAAAGATCAAAACAAAACATTCTTAATAAAAAAAGATACTATAATTAATACAAAAAAATAAGAAAACTGCATATATAAATGGGACGGAGTAGAATTTTACATATTTTCTAGAGTATAAATTACAACATTATTTATTTATATTTTCAAAACGAAATTAATACTCCCTCTAAAGTCTAAAATGACTCCCTCCGGGCGTATCTAATCGTATGCCGTCTGAGCCACAGCTGATAAATCACCATATGAAACGCATCCAACGGTTGAGGCTCTTCATTCCACACCAAATGCTTACTCGCCGCTGACGCCATTTCTCGCATCACGTTGTACTTTTCCTCGCTCACATCATTCAACACCTCCTTCAGCCGCTTAGCGCCGCCACGTGCCGCCACTAGCAAACCTAAATCTGACCATCTCAAAACATCCGTCAACGGTAAGTCCTGAATCGGACGGTCCACAATCACCACCGGCACGCAACCCAGAGCCATCGCCTCAACCATCCATGCTACGTCACCGGCATAAAAAAGCAAGCAGAATTTACTGTTTTTGACATTCTCCACAGGATCTAATAACTCCCTTTCGATATCGATCAAGAAATCACCGTCTTTCCTTAATTCTTCAACGAAATTTGACTCCGTTTTTCCATCCCATTTTAAATAACCCAGAAACGACGACGTTGAAGCATTCTCCGGTACAGCGGAGATGAAGCGAGCGGCCAGGTTCACGGGAGGTAAAGTAATGTCTTTATGCGGGATAAACTTACCAGAGATTACAGGGAATACAGAAATCTGCACAGAATTTTTCTTCAGCTCAAGAGCATTACGGTCGGCTGAATAATCAATACCGGTGGGTGATACGAAAAAATGATCAGCCCCGAGAGAGCGATTCCAGTAAGGATGGTTGATTCTGAGGTCCCTGACGAGACGCGCAAGAGAGCGCGTCGATGTTTCGGGGGAAAAGGGTATCAAGAAGAGGTGGGCTTCAGTGGGTTCTTGGGTGAGAAACGGGCTGTTGAGGAGGGAACTGTAGAAGAGAGATGCAGCTGGGTTTTGGAAAGTGAATGGTTTAGCTGGGGTGTATATGAAAATCTTGAAGTTAGTGAGCATTTTTTGGTAGTTCTGGAAAAGGGTGGTGGGGGAGAGGTATGGTGACGATGGGACGGCAACGGCGGCCGCAAAGAGGAGGAGTAGGGGAAAAACAGCTGTGGTAGTCGCGGTGGCCATTTGGTTTGACACGAAGGCTTGGTGGCGGTGGTCTGTTTTTCTCTTTTGTTGCAAATTGAAGGATGGTTCAAAGCTGCCTACCAATGTGGGCGATAAGATAAGGTGGTTGAAGGTTATATTTCAACATGGTTTAATGAGAATCTTTGAACTGTTATTTGTCAAAACTAATAAATTTGGCAACTTTCTCATTCGTCCATATGGAACTTCGAACATTTAGAGCTTGTTTCAAACTCTTTTTTTTTTTTTTTATGAAAATGTGTTTTGAAATAATATTTTGATGGATAATGAGTGGTTAAAAAATAAAAATAATTTTGAATTTACATTAATATTATTTTATTAAAAAATGTGTGGTTAAAAATAAAAAAAAATATTTTTTAAAAATAATTAGGATCAAACATATGGCTTACGTTGCCAGCAGCTTGAAGATAGCACTGTACGCAATTGGACACGATCGGAGATATGAGTTTATTGAGTTTATCTTAGTTTAACTTCAAAGCAACAAATATGTCCACGGTCAGGAGACAGAAGACGTATGTATCAAAATAGAGTTTTTTGTTTCTACCCTTTTCCTAAAAAGGTTGAACCTCGCCCCGCCCCTAGAGCATTGTAGAGGAGGTAAATCGCGGGATGTACCTCATTAGGTCAGGGTATAAGAGCTGTTATACTGGTGTTCACAAAGAGTTTAATTACATACCTTGTAAGAGGCATGAATCGAACCCTCACACTGCGGCTGCTAGCTCAGTTAAGACTACCTCACTCTTGTCATTTGCACCACTGAGTTATACCTCGAGGGCGTTTGTACCCTTTTCCTAATTATTGTTTTGGAGGGACTAGGAAATGAAGCGTGTGTGTGCCCCCATTCTATACCAATTTTTTCAAACCATTTCTCATTAAGTGTGGGCCCCAAATTAGACAAAAATGAAGGCCACACACCAAATAGCCTTCCCTGTTTGACACCCATTTTAGTTGAAAAATAATTTTTGGAATAGTGATTGATGGAAGATTGTGTGGTTAAAAAATAAGGAGAATTTTTAAATTTATGTGTAATATTATTTTATTGATAGAATGAGTGGTTGAAATGAAGAAAGAGAAAAAAATGAGAAATAGAATGAGAAAAAAATGGGTTTCAAACAGGGTTGCATTTTGAAATTTTTAACTGTTCATTCTGTCCTTTAATTTATGAATGGTGAGAATTGTGAATGGTAAGGCTAAATTGGTGGAGGGCAATGTTGTAAATTTCCTATTGCATTTGAGTGCAATATAGTCCATGAAGACTCACCGGCATTATCCACTTTATATCCATCCCGACAAAAATCTGACTTCTTGTAACGTGTTGTAAGGTATGTCCTACACTATAAAAAGAGTGGGTTTTTTTTCCACTGTTCCTAAGCCAGATAAGCCGGATGGCCAGCACCAGCCGAGACGAGTTGAGCCAGCCGCGTTAGCCGTGTGGATTTTTTGGCCTTTTTCCCCCCTTTTTAGTCGAGGTCAGTCATTTCTCCTCTGACATTCTCCATTTCTGAAAGCAAACTCCATACTTCTTTCCTTCATTCTCCAGTCTCCACACAAACCGTACAAAATCAAACCTCCATTTTCTTTTAATCACAATTTTGATTCATTCGCAATCATCAATTCACGCTCACAGCCAAATCGGTTCGCCAATTCCACCGTCACCACGCCGCTAGGTAAGTTATCTCCCCCTTTCCCCGGCAAGGAGACACTGACCGTGTCTCCGTGCGCAATGGTGACACGGGATGGTGGTGTCTCTGTTGCGCACGGAGACAACGTTTCTCCTTGTGCGCACACGGTGTCTAAGACAAATTTTTTTCTTCTTCTTCTTCTTCGGTGTTGACAATAACGTTATTTTTTTTTTTAAGGTAGTAGAAATCAAAGCTTGAAGACGCAAGTATTCTTTGATTGTCTTTTGTTCTGAGTTTTCGTGGTGATTTTTGTTTTCGTATAGATATTTTAGATACTGGCTTGATTTATTTCACAATTATGTGATTTCATTTGTATAATTGAGGTGCTCTTGCTACAGTTTTCTCTCTGTCAATTCTTCTGGGATTTGAGGGTTCAATTTTGTCGAGGAATAAAATTTAAAGAAACCAAAAACACTTGCTAAAGGAGATGAGTTGCTTTTCTTGTATGACTCCTCGACTTAAGCATGAGAGGGGGTTACGAAGAAGATATGACCCCTAAATCCATTGGTTCTTCAGGTTCATTTTTCTCTCTCAGTTTATTTATTTGTACAGAATTAGTTTTTGAATAATTGTTCTTCTACAATGTGCTTAATTATTTTATGTATTTTTATGTTTGTTTCTTTGGCAATTACGGAAAAAGCAAATTTTAGTGACAATATAAGATGATAAATAGCTTAAAAGTTTGACATATGATGAAATTGTAATGTGGCATTTTGAATCTTTGTTGAATCAATGTGCTTGCAATAACTTTTCAAGTGCAAACTTGAAAAAGATTACAATGAGTACCCAAGTCTATGACAAGTGACATAAATATGCAATTGCAACTTGCAGTCTATTTATTCAGGGATACATTTGTTAAGGAATTCGTAGTACTAAAAGAATGATGATAGTGACACTATAAATTTCATCTGCTTTAAGTCGCTATGTCTCTCATAAGTGTCAGCTAAATTAGATTTATTTAGATGTTATATTGTCTTTTGGCTTTCTAATTCATGTGAAATTGTTGTACAGTTCATTCCAATTGCTTGGTTGATGCTGTGGCATATTTTTTTATTGTATGCAGGACATCAGACAAATGTACTTCTCTAATATTCTCCCAAGTGTTTTCAAGCTCTCTCTAACTTTACAAAAAGCAGCAGCAATAATTCATTTACTTCAATCGAAGGCGAGCTACAAATTGCAATTACATGATTTGATTGTTATTGTTGTTTGAATTCGGTTTTTAATTGAGTTTTTGATATGGTTTTGACTCTTTTTGCTCATCGCCACGGTAGGAAGTATTTGTCTTTTTATGGTTCTGTTGGTTTTCATTTGATCATCGCCACGGTAGGAAGTATTTGTCTTTTGATGGTTCTGTTGGTTTACTGATTTAAATCTTCTTTGTGAAGATGAGCACACATTCTGACATAGGTAAAAGAAAGGGAATCCGAAATGAGGACCAAGCAGGTGAGTAATGTAATTAGCTGCACTTTTGTTGATATCTATATGCTTTCATTGTTTCAAGCAACTATTAGGAAGATCTTCTAGACGCTGATTGGGCATGGTAATTATGAGTAGTTCAGTGGCTTGGGCATTGAGTTTCATCTTAGAATCATGAATACAGGACACATAACATGACACGCCAATAGATTTTTTTCAAACAAGACATGAGATGTAGAGGACATTAAGTAAAGCCTCCATAGGTTATGGCGCACTCCCATTGTGGACAACTGAATGTGTTGATGTTTATTGGCACAGAGTTATTGAATTTTTTATTTTTGTTTTCCATCATATATAATGGTCAAGAATTAGTCATGTTATAATCAAGCCCCATATGTTCTTTTAGAAATCAAAATCTTCCCAGTAGCTGTCCTTGAGCATGTAGTCATTGGTCCAAAATTAGCAATTTTTGCAGTGTGGCCTCTCATTTCGAAACCTAAGACTTTCGGCCCGAAGAAATGTTGTTGCGTGGTGTATTTTTTAGCAGTGAAAGAACTTACAAATGGGAAAAGTGAGAAGATTAATTGCTGAATTTTGATAGGAGTAAATGATGGGAATGATCCATCATGCAGGGCGAATTTTTTCTTTTTCCAGTTCTTCCTGCTCTTTATTGGGTTTTTGGTTCTTACATTGGCCTTTATCCAATTTAAACCACTGCTTTTGATTATATTTCTATATATATTTTTTCAGGCTATCATCACATGGGGTGTTCAAAATAAAATTGATTTTATTTCATTGTCATACACGCGTCACGCAGAAGACATTTGTGGCAAGTTGTACGACACCTTATAGATTATTGAAGATAGAATCATCATATTCTGCTCAGAAAAATGCACGACAGAGATTATGGTATTTCAAAATCATTCCAATATTAACAACAATCAATGTGATTGAATTAGTTGACAACTCTAATACTATTAAATTGCAAAAAACAGGGTTTAGTATAAAATCTTATTCTCTATTTACTACATTAAGGATGCTAGGAGTCGCAGGGAGTAGCCAGTCTGTTCCCCCAATAGGACTTAATTATGAGCATAGTTTTTACATTTTTATGTGTTCTTGTGATCTATGAATGTCAAATGTAGGGGCTACGATATGGAAAAAAAAGGATACAAGGACTTAGATTGGACAACACTGAACCAACAAGAACCTCTATCTAGGAACATTTAGTAACTTTTTTGAATCTTTATCTTTACGAGGGAAATTGCTTTTTTATTCTGTCGTTCGATTCTTAGCATATAAATCCTACGAAATTATCTTCAAATGTGAAGGAGTGAACTTTTTTTGGTTTCTTTTGCTATGGATTTACAGGTGAATGCTCGATGTAAGTCTATTCACTTGCTATTGAGTTTATTGAGAAATCTGCCATGAATTGTTTTTTCTTTCTTGGTCCTATTCCGTGTGTTGGTCTGGTTACTTGGTCAAGTAGGAAACCAAGCAGACATAACTACTAATTATTTGGTTTTACACAAGCCATTAGGTTATATAAACAGCTAAATAATTTTGTTCTTCTTGCTGTGTTACAAGATGTTTTGATTTGGTTGGGGGCAGGTGGATGAAGTGAAAAGTGAGGACGTGGTTTGCGTGATAAAGAATTCTGCAACGTTGGCTGGGTCATTATTTACTCTACATGCTTCTCAAAACCGTTGAAGAAGAGGAGGATGTTACAAAAATTAAAGACTATCAGCCTTCAACATCAGATTCTGCCCCGGAGCCCAAAACATCACCTACTCCAAGTCCACTAAAAGAAGAGACTGAAGCACCTCCTACAGGAAGTCTCATTTTTACCTGTCCTCTTCCCAAGAAACTAGCTGAAGATCACAATGTACATTATATGCTAGAATAATCTTATCAACAATGTTTCCTTGGAAAACAAGAGTTAGTTTCTTACAGCATCTTTCCCGTCTGAAGATCACAATGTACATTAACTTTCTTGAAACTTAATAAATTTCATACACAACGATATTGATATTGATGAAGGTAAAACTGTAATATTCTTCTTCATATCTTTTACAATGACGATGCATACATTTATAGGGAAGAATACAAGCTATATATGGGAAATGGGGTCTGGTATAGGAAAGTCTATAAATGGAAAACTGTGGCTTGATTTATGTGATTTGTTGCTGTGATTTGTGCTGTGCTGTGCTGTAATAAAACTTATAATGTTCATTCATTGCAAGTTTGCAACACTGAGGTACTATTGATGC